ACATTCCCGTTTTCCATTTTGTGACCATAATGTGACTCCTGAGTGTGAGAATAAAATTCTGTAGGGATTGTGCCTATGAGGTCATGACATTCCAAGCCCAATTACCCTGTTGAGAGTAGGTTCAATTGCTGACACCGGAATGCATCAGTCCCCACCCTGCCTGTCCGTTGCATACCTACCTATCCACCTACCTACCCTCAAGTGTAGGAGCATCTTTTCGGTACGACAATTTGTGCGCATTTCGGTCTGCTCACGTTTGAGGACGTGTTTTAATTGAGCCCCCGACTGGCCAATGAGTCTTGAGGGTTTTATGAGGGTTGCTCCTTAACGTCTGACGTAAGACGTGGACAGATGTTATACCGTAGTTTGCATCTATTTGAAACGCTTGGACAAAAGTTACTGAGTCCACTTTATGTATGTATTCAGAAGGGAGTGGTTGACTGGTTTAACTCATGGGCAACGGCTTGCACAAAGCGGTGGAGTTCAAGGTCTGAAAACTCTGAGACCGCCAAACTTGAGCGACAAACAAGCAGGCTGTCACAAGGCTTAATGTGACTCCTTTCCTGCATATGCCAGGTCACTTCCCCTTAATGAGCAGTGGGTCCTCTTGGCGGTACGACATTCAAATCGTCATCATTGGTGTGGGCTTTGCCTTCAGATTCCAGATTCAAACTGTCACCCAACCTTAGTGTTGGACAGCTTCGCGGTGGTCCAGCTCACCAGCACACCTATCCTGTCCTACGGGACATAATAAGAATCACAAGTGCTACCCCAAATCATAAGGCCTAGGTTGCCAGTTATCACGAGTGAACACCCGATCCCTGTTACTATGGTTTTCACATTCTCTACTGTTCAGCATAATGAAATATGCTAGATCAACTGTGGATCGGAACACATGCAAAGTTAGTCTGGATAGAGAAACATAAAGGGGTTGATATAACACGCTGAACAATAAGTACCACAGCATAGGTTATTGACGTGAAACTAATCAACGGAGCCAACCTATGAAGTCAGGGGAAAATGGGTGTGCGGTTTACAGTGCCATATTCCCGGATTTTGCGCGTCTTGAAGCAAGTAAAGCATGATGCTGAGCTAGGTTTTCTTAATACTGTATGAATTTGAAACGAGAAGGAAGTATATAAAATCAACATTGCACAAGTAACTTCCTGGACGATTTTATTAACTGATGAATACTGCGGACAAATACATATTGTTGTAGTCAAGTCACAGCAATCAAAACCGCCGCACGAGTGAATGGCTGTTCAAACTCAAACTGAGAATGAGTATTGTACTGTTTCTGTACTAGATCATCCAAGGAAGGCTTAACCGATTTTTGGACACGAGAAATCAGCCACTGTGAATTTCCCTGAAGTCGAAATAGTCCCTTAAAGAAGATAGGTCAATCAGGGTCTTGGTGAAGAACAAGCGGTATTTATGTGTTTGACAGAGACATAAATGACGAATAGTAAACTTGGATTAGCCCATTCGCTTGTTAAGAGGCAACAGTCATTCGCACAAGATGATGACCATCGACCGTGTAGCTCAGGGTTTGAAGTCCCGACCCGAATGTTCACGGTTCGAGTCCTGACAGGGACACAAAAAGTACGCACTGCTAACGAGTCCCAAACAGGACGAAACAGCTGTCAAGTGCCCTTTGTTGGTTATCACAAACATTTCTATCAAATATATGACCGGTATAGATAATTTCAAGGCGTCTTTAACAACGTCACGTTTTATGACAAGACAAACGAGGCTGGATATCAAGCACATTCGATTACTGGGATAAGTCTACTAAAGGCTACCAAAAATCTAAAGGAAAGACGTGTTCAACTTTCAAATCAGAAGAGTTATTTTCCTTTTTAAATACACACCAGTGTATGAGGAACAGCAGATGGGGCGAATCCTATAGTACTAGGACCTGTTGTTCAGTGATGGTAACTGGTAACCCGATCCTCGGGACTCGGAATGATGAACCACACAAGGTCCCGATATATCAGGCAGAGTATACAACCGGGCGACGGAAAAGCTGCCTACTACCAAAGTCAGGTGGCGGTGGCGGGGCTCGAACCTCGGACCACAGAGTCCAGAGCGCATGGATGACAGCGACTAAATCACTGGGTCATCATTCGACCCTAGTGCTTCCTGAGTTGACCGAATGAACTGGGGATTGTGTGCAGTCTGAAAGATGGTCACTCCAAATCGAGGCAGTCCATCGCACAAAGCTGTTCATAAATAACTGTGAGCTGGATGAGACTTACTGAGATGTGATCAGTATAGTTGGGACCTGATTGAATTAAATTGACAAGGATTTTCTAAGAGTGTTGGAACATTGTTATTATTGTGGTCAGATTGTAATCGCGAATGCCTGTAAAAACTTCCGATTTACATTATATGAAAATGACGCATAGTTTTTCCGTATGTTTCATTCGATCTACACTCCCCGAATCCGTGATGTTCACTCACACACGAATGCGATTTATTTAACAATTGTATGCAGATTATGTCATTTTTTGAGTGTTATTTTCATAAGGGTAAATTAGTAGACATCTGAGCTCATTATGAGGATGAACCTAGTCATAGCGACTGCACGAGATGCCCTGTCTCAAACTATTACGTCACAACACCTCGTGATGACCCCACGAGGTGGGGGTCATGATACGAAAAATAGAATGCGGGGATTATCGGAAGAGCACGCATGCGTGGTGACCTTTGTGTCCAGCATGAACGAGACTGAATTGTTTGTGTAGACAGGTGAACTCAGTTATTGACCTTTGCTAACTCAGAATGAGAGTCACTGTAATGAAAGTCAGTAAATTTCTGTGTTGTCAATCTCCGTTCACTGAGCATATTTTTCCTCTCATACTAGTGTGTCATTTTTCGCGATCGATAATAATTTACCTCATTTTGTGAATAAGTAATTCCTCGCGAAACCTCCACACTAGCTGTCCTCCAAGGAGCTATATTGACGCCCTTACTCTTTTTATCCAATATGTCATCCCTGCCAATGAAACCTACTTTCTCACTTTGAATTAACTAATTCGGTTTCTGGTAGACCCCGGGCACCGTTGCTGATCTTGGGTGTGGGTTTCACCCCCCACCAGTTAAATACATTTTAGTGCGATGGAAATCTTTGTAATGATTGACAAGGAACACTGGAAAACTGTTACTTCCTTTTGGGAACTCGTCAGTAGTGCGTACTTTTTGTGTCCCTGTCAGCACTTCAACCGAACACCTTCGGGTTGGGATTCAAAACCCTTATCCCTGAGCTACACGGTTGCGGTTCAACACCTTGAAAGAGTGATTCAATCGATTCAAGCGTTGAGTATTTAGAATGTCCCATTCGTTTTTTACAGGACGAGACTGGTGTTCAGTACTATTCGTGGGTCAACACAAAGAATTATAATTTCTTACTGTTTACATAAGCAAATGATGTGATTTTTGACCATCTGCGTTCTAACGAGTAAGTTTTTAGTAACTAACTGAATTGAAACACGCAAACCTACTAATACCGGCTGTCAGTTACTTGGATCTGAACTCCTCAAAATGTGCAGATATGTTGTTTGTCCTAGGTGAAGGAAAGTGTTAATTCAATCTCAGAGCAACCTACTATTTAATACACAGATCTAAGACAACCGAATGGATCGCTCTTCTTAGAACATACTGATACATGGTTCAAACATACTCGCAGATATCCTTGAAAGTTAGGGGATAATCAGTTTGTAATCCATTGGTGTTCCGGATCAAGGTCGAAACGTTGTCACCGAAATCTTGTGTTTTCGTACTCACGTTGTGGCTAAAAACAAACCTGATTCTATTGTTAGGGGATAATCGTTTTTTCCTATCATGACTCAAAGCAAATTCTGTATCGTATATAAAAATATATATCTATATCAAATATATATATCAGCATTTTGTATTATCATATATTTTCACACACGCCTAAATCCATACTGTGTGCTAAACCAATCATGGTACACTAATCTTTGTAAAAAAGGAAAACTTTCCATGATTTCCATGTTGGCGGAATACTGCCAGGTTGCCCAGGCCATTGTTCTAACCACACCTGCCGCGAGCTTCAATATGGCTTTAGCAGATTTACTTTCAAAAGATTTCAAACTAATGTCTAGGTGTATTCAAACCCTTTTATTTTCTAGAGATAGTCTGCTTGCGCATTTTGTCCAGCATATATATATATATATATATGCTGTGTGTAAGCGTTGCGACATATGCCGCACATTTTCACATCATCTCCTTCGCGTTGATTTAAGTAATTGTTTCTGCCGCTTCCCTCCTCTACAAGCACTTGTATTCACGCACCGACGTATTCTGATCATTTCGTATATCATATCTTACCAGATTTCTATCCAAAATCGAACATGTCAAATCTGTAATTATACAAGCTTTTTACTGACAGATGCTCTCTCATTTGTATTGTTTTGTGTTGTTGTCGGTGCGCTCGTATGTCGTAGTTGAATACACCATGAATTCACTTCGCTTGTATTCCTAAACGCGGTTGGTGCTGAACAGATTTAATAATCAGTGTGATCTGAAAGATTGGAAAGCAATTCTTTGGGATCACACAACCGGCTCGCCGTACCCAGCGGACAAAATTATTCAAAACTATCATTATTTACTCCAATGGCAGGTCATTGTTTTGTTTCTACTCTCACAAAGTCCTTTATTCACTGCTGTGTTGAGGTTCAAAGTGAACTATGCAAATGTCTTTTGTCGTAAATGTACGTTTTTGTGAAAGTACATCGTACAAAATTTCATTTTTGTTCGAAACAGCAATTTTGAAAAGGATGAATAGAAATTCTTCTTCTCTATTATTATCACCATCGTCATCACCGTCACCATCATCGTCATCGTCATCATTATCGCAGTTGCGATATTCTATGCATTCCCTCTCATTCTTGGATCTGTTTTATCACTCCCATTCAGATACTCACTCACGCGATACTGACTCATTCCTGATCCTTGGTTCGCCCTCGCCTATCTTCATGTCCTATTTCCGACCAGATACACGTCACATCATCGATTCACAGCATACGTCCAATACGAACGACTGGTTTGGACAAGCTACCACCCGACTGGAGCAAACTTTATGTCCTATCCAATTATCTGCCTCAAGTCCGACCCGAACTACTCTAATCGGTGCAAATAATAATCTGCAAGATCCGGATGAAATGCAAATAAAAAAAATGCAATTCCCTGTCGAGGAAAACCGGCCCATTTCATCGGATCAAATTCAGCCCACATTGCCGGTTCGATTTTCTCCGGTGTACGGAGGGGCAGGGATCAGTAGATGTGATGTGAAACCGAAAGAAATGATCGGACTATCGATCGAATTGAACAGTACAACAATGGCTATCGATAAATTAAAACAAGAAGTTGATATGAATGGCGATGAAGAAGAACAAATCAGGTGAGATTTAAAAAAAGAAGCAGAGAACCTGTTTGTGTCGACTAAATCGGGTAACTCTCTATAACGTGTTGTTTTGAGTTCAATTCAAGTCCCATGCATAAGTGAAATAAGGGTTTAATACAACAATACAATGTGGAAATGTCACACGCCAATAAAAGGTTTACTAAACGATCAAGTTAATAAGAGATTCAGAGGCCAAATATTTGTCCTAACTTTCGCTCTGAAAGGTGACACATGTAAAGGCTATTTAGTTAGCACAACAAGTCAAACTTTTAAACCTTATAATGGCCAGTCTTTTGGGGAAAGGCAACTTCTCGTGCTCGCTGTCGTTGGGCCCAGAACGATTGAGTCTTTATAAGGGTCGACACCGCAGATTCTAGGCCTCAGGTTCAGTCCAGTCTTCACAGGACGAATAATGGCCCTTGCAAATCGGGCGTCCAGGTTATTATGTTGTCGGCGGGGGTTCCTGGCTCCCAACATTGCATTTTTCTGATTTTTTTTAATCAGGTTTTCTCAGTCGAGTGGGAAAAGAGAAAACGGAAGAGATGTTTTCTCGCCTCATCGGCGAGAGACCTTAGTTTTCTGAAACATACCAGTTTCAAGTACAATTGAAAGGCCCGATTCCATAGTTTGGGGCTGCAATTTACCTGGCTCTTAGTGACGATACATTATCACCTAACCTTAGGGAACAGTTCCGGCCAACACGCATCTA